CAGTCAACTACGTGGGAGTCCAGCGACATAGCCATTACGCTAACTGCTGGTTCCCTAAAAAATTTCTTTTATATGAAAGAGAGAGAAGCAGCATCCCAGTAGAGTCCCCACACTACAGTCTATCCTGTCTCAGCTAGCTAGTATTACAGGCATATATGTATCCAGAGTGCACAGGGAAACCTCAGGACATGAAGGGGGTCCTTCCCATGTGTCCTCATTGTGGAGCGTCATGTTATTAGCATTGTGGCTGGTCACAGTGTTTTGTTTTGTTTGGGGTGATTTATTTATTTATTTATCGTCAGGTGCGTGCTCTCACCAGAGACAGAGACAGAGAGGGGGAGAAAGCACCCTTAAATGGGGCATGGTCATGCTACAGTGTCTTCTCCATTTCTCCATCCTGTTGGAATTTGCAGCATGCACACTCACATGTCTGGTATGTGTTTTAAGCTGCCAGGGTCAGGATTAGAACTGCAGTTGGCCATGTGGGATACAACTTCTTTAACCACTAGGTTATGGAGCTAGCCCTTGGTTTTTAATAAAAGGCACTCTTCAGTATTTTAGAACCTTCTTGTCTTTTTCATTTTCAGCTTGGTGTGGTATTTGAGACATATTCTCTCTCTGTCTTTATATATATGATGTATATATAAAGACACACATATATATGTATATATAAAATGTAATATACTGATTTTGGAAGAAATCTTTGGCATTTTATCTACAGTAAGCTAAAGAGAATAAGAGAATGTGCAAAAGAGGAAGGGGACATTAATGTCCTTGTCATTTGTGGTACTAAATGTAGGAAACACCATAAATGCAGTCACTAAAATATGGCAAAGCTAAATAGACCCATAAATGGTTTGCATTCATCTAAGTGCTATTTTAATCTTTTCATATTCTTTATACAAATGATATGATCACAAAACTTCCAAAGCTTAATCATTAATGTTTTTGTCATAGAACACTAGTTAGCAACGGCCACCTATACAAAATATGTCATGCTGGTTACACCAAACAGGTTAGACAGACTCAGCACCCCAAGGGACAGCGTTGACATAGGTTAGAATGTGAATGTGGGCATGTAACGAGGAAGCACAGCATAATCTTATTTCTGTACTTTTATTACAAAGTATTTGATATGTACAAAAGAATATAATGTAAATATGTCATCATAATCTATGATTTGAAGAGTGTCAGCGCTGTTGTCATGAACTCAGTGAATGCATCTACAGTGGACTACCTTTTTTTTTTTTGTCCCAAGACAAAACAAATACTATTTTGGCAAATTCTATCTTATTTATACTAATGTGTCTTAACTGAACTGAACTTATTGGAAGGAAGGAAGAGCGAGGGGAAAGCCAAGCCTCATAATCCTAACCTTAACATTTTCTTCTATATAATTTTACTTCTTTTAGCCCAGTGGTTCTTTATTCATTACTACAATCAACAAAACACAACTATCCTATGCCTTGGAAATTGTTTTTGCAGAGCAAATTGCAGGTCTTGTACCAAGAGGTACTCATACATGGGAGAAGTTTGTGTCACCGGAAAAGCTAGAGAGCATTCTGGAATCAAGTAAGTTTTAAGAATGTTTTCAATTTTCAAGGCTTAATTGAAATTTTAATGTACCATAATTATGAATCACATTTTCTAACACTCAACTAAATACGCCACTAATTTATAAATGTGCGTTTCATCTCCAAAAGTATACTAATAAACTCCTTGAAGTTAGAAATAGATCCTATCTGTGTTTCATCTCCAAAAGTATACTAATAAACTCCTTGAAGTTAGAAATAGATCCTATCTTTCTGGCTTATAAACTTAACCCAGGGCCAAGAAATGGGTTATCAGTTAATACTTTTTGGCTTGTTAGTCCTCACTTCTTTAAGAGCGAGATTAAAATGTCTATTTCTTACACATCTTTAGTTTACTCTATTAAGCCCTACTTTTATCAGCTTATCTTACATATTATTTTTCTTGATTCTCCCACACTCAGACCTATTTTGAACTTCCATGTTGTTTTTCATGACTTTATGTTCCTTCCAGCATTTTTTTTTGACGAGAGATTTTTGGTATAGGCTGTGTGCACTTGCTGAAGAGACAGAGAGAGATAGGGAGACAGAAAGCGTGAAATCACCACCCAGGGAACATGGCCACGCTGCAGTCTCTTCTCTCGGGATCTTGGGCGTGCACTCACACGTGCCTGGTGTGAGCTTTAAGCTGCTGTGCACTCACATGTGCCTGGTGTGAGCTTTAAGCTGCTGGGGCTGGGACTCGAACCACGGTAGACTACATGGGAGTCCAGTGATGTAACCATTACGCCATCTGCTTGTCCCTACTTACAGCATATTTTATAGTATGGGTTTCTTTTTTTTTTTTTTTTTTCACCCATTCCTGGTCTTAAGGACAAGACTGTGTCTCCTTCATGTACTTCCTATAGTGCCTAACTCTGTTTTACACATAGTGAATGCTCAGTTTATGTGTTGAATTTGTGTCAAGTAATTGTGTTTTTCAGTTATTTTTTTTAAATAGATTTTTTTCTACAGGGAGTGTGCACTCATCAGAGAGACAGAGAGACAGACAGCAAGAAATCACCCCTAGGGAGTTGGCTACATTACAGTCCTTTCTCTTCCATTCTCCTCTCGGGATCCTGTCCATGTACACACAAGCACCTGGCGTGAGTTCCAGGTCTACAGGTCTAAGACTTGTACCGGGGTCGACTACATGGGAGTCCAGCAACGTAACCATTGCACCCTCTGCTGGTCTCATTGTCAGTTCATTTTTTAGCATCTGGTATACTTTTTGAGTACTTAGATTCATATATTTCTTATGGCTTTTGTTGATATAGTAGTTTGTCAGTAAACTTGATTTTACTTGGAATATTATCATTCTATAGCAATGTACTAAATGATAAAGATTTCTGTGCAATTCCTGAAAATAGAGCTGAAAAACTACTGCTTCACAGGGAGGTTGGCAGGTACTTTCTAATAATAACTAAAGTTGATTGAGTCATTGCCAAATTCCAAGCCCATGCTACTTTACACTTAGATCTCATCCAATTCTGACAGCTCTGTGATTGACGTTCTATTCATGTGAGAACACTGAGATTCAGGAAAGTGAAGTGACTTGCCCATGGTTACATCTAATATCAGTGGGAGCCAGAGCTGGGATCTGAGCCCAGGCAATCTGCTTTAGAGGATGTGTTCTACCATGTAGTAAAATATCCTCTGCACAGAGCTACAGAGTATTTTAGCCCATTAAGTTAGGAATTCTTTTTTTTTTTTTTTTTTTTAAATTGTTGGGATTGTTGTGTGTACTCACCAGAAAGAGAGGAACACTGAGAGGGAGAGGGAGAAAGCATCCCCCACCCCAGCAGGGTGCGATCACACCACAGTCCTTTCTCCATTTTTCTAGATTTTATCAATCTCTTCTTCTCCATTACTCTGGATTTTCTGCAAACTTACATATTCGCTTGCCCTCTTTTTCAAGCCAGGTAAGGGATCAAAACTATCACCTATCATGTGGAATCCAGCTTCCTTAACTACTATGCTATGGGGTTGGCCCAGGGATCCCTTTTTAATATGGAGAATTGTATGAGACTCTTGATGTTTAGAAGATAAATATTTATTGGGGCCAGCAGGTGGCTTGGTGGTTAAGGGCTCTGGACTCCCACATGGCGAACAGTGGTTCTAGTCCTGGACCTGGCGGGTTTGCTTTCTCACTTTGCTTCTCTCTCTCTCTCTCTCTCTCTCTATGTCCCTTTCTGGTCAAACAAAATTTAGTTAATTAATTAACTAATTAATTAAAAAAAAAACACCAGCTTTCTTAACTACTAGGCTATGGAATTGGCCCAGGGTTCCTTTTTTAATATGGAGAGTTGTATGAGACTTTTTTTTTTGGAGAGGTTTCTGCTATAGGGCATGTGCACTCGCCAGACAGACAGAGAGAGACAGAGAGACAGAAAGCCAGAAATCACCCCCCAGGGGGGATGGCCACGCC